TATGCTATGATTTTAGTTTATTTTTTTTATCAATGGCTGTTTTTATATTTACGTAGTGCATTCCTACTTTTTTTTTATTTCAAGCCATCATTGGGATGATTTTCTTTGATCTAATGCTGTTTCTAAATATACACAGTGAATTGGTGGTCTTTATTCTCTGTCATGTATAATTGACTAATCTCTAATTTGTTAGTTCATTAAAAATGCAGATTGTTCTTGCCACTTTAGATAACTATGATCTGTGTAGAAAAAATGAAGATGCTGATGTCAGAGCAGAGTCACACCATAATTGGGTGGATGAGGTTGTTTGTTGTGAAGGTTGGGGTGCTTCAGTTACTGGTAATGACATTCGCTCTAGCTGCTTGATCATCCAGCCTCGACTGGAAATAAAGGATCCTTCCCTTTTAACTAGGTATTGGTTATTCAAGAGCTTATAGAAAGAGTTTCAGGCCATTTATGGAGTATGGTCTTTTACACAGCTTTTAATCACTTCGTGGTTGCCTTCTTGGTTTTTATTTAATCATTGTTATAGGGAGGAAATTGAAAAACCAGAAATATGGGCTCAGATATGTGTTCAAAGAGTGGCTGAATTTGCTAATGACAGCACAACTCTGCGTTGTGTTCTGGATCCAATGTTTGTCTACTTTGATTCTAGGAAACACTGGGCTCCACAGAAAGGGTTAGCAATGAAGGTGTTATCCAGCATGACCTACTTAATGGAGAACTCACGTATTGTTCTATTCCACTCATGGCTCAATATTTTTCCGAAATAAATAATCAAGTGGATGTATTTCATATTTCAAGGTTATGCCTTTTAGGATGTGAGAAGTTTATGATATTAAAATAGCTAGCTATGTGCAGTGTTATATGAAGTTCTTTTGTAAAATTTTTGATCTTGTTCCATAATGATGTTTTCTTTCTTTTTACCTTCTTTTAAAGGGAATCAGTGGTTCATCATAGCCTCGGTGATACATCATCTGGACCACAAAAATGTTATGAACGACCCCCAACTTAAGGCCTGTGTTGTTAAAGTTGCCACATCTTTAGCTATGCAAATTAGATCTGGGAAAGGGTTAGCAGAGATTGGTTTCGTTGGTGACCTTTGCAGGCATCTGAGGAAAAGCCTTCAAGCCTCCAATGAATTGGTTGAAGAAGAAGAAGAGTTGAACTTGAATATCTTGCTCCAAAATTCCATGGAAGACTGCTTACTTGAAATTGCCAAGGGGGTAGGTTTGTGGATGCATTATTTCCTCCGACAATATAACTGCATTCTGTTCGACTACTAAAGTACTTATTTTTCTTTGTTTGTTGACTAGATCATTGATGCCCAGCCACTCTTTGACTTGATGGCAATAACCCTAGATAATATGCCGTCTGGTGTTGTTGCTAGGGCTACCATTGGATCACTGATAATTCTTGCTCGTGCTGCCACCTTAGCATTGTCTCGTTTACATTCACAGCAGGTAAAAGGAATTTGTTATAATCCAATACGATTTATAGTAAAGGATGCATAGCTGGAATGTAGGAATCGTTTTTAACAAATAAGATAAGATGGTATATACTGTGAGAGGCAGTCTTAATCATAGTACACATGAACCTTTTTGCTGTTTGCTTCTTTTAGATAATATGAAATGAACGATGTTCATTATTCTGGATAATTTTCATTTTGGATAAGTGTTATCTTGGTTGCATCCATTGATTATTTTTTATGCTTCCGTCTAGGGATTTCCTGAAGCTCTTCTTATACAACTCCTGAAAGTCATGTTGCATTCAGATGTGGAGGCTCGTGTTGGAGCACACCTTATATTTTCTGTACTTATTTGTCCAAGTTCCTTCCATGCACATGGAGTTTCCTATCTGCGGTCTGGATGTCTAGATCAACACAGTAAGAGGCGTTCTCACACTGCTTCTGCGTCTGCTTCAATTACAGCTTTACTCGAAAAGCTCCGCAGAGGCAGAGATGACAGCAAGACAGAAAATCATGGGACTTTTGTTTTTGATGGTAGCAAAGAAAGGGATGTTGTGGCCGAAAACTGGAAACAAGGAGGCGTCTTGAAGAATTCCCCGAACTTTTACAAACTCAGCTCTATCATGGATAGGGCTACTGGATCATCAAGTTTGACCGATGCAGTAAGTGATTGAATTGGTTTCTATCAATGTGTTGTTTTTTATTTTTGATTATCCTTAGTAAGAAATTGTTAGTTTTAATGTTCAACTGGCTCTCAGGAACCATATGTTATGAAACTCAGTGAAGATCAAATGGAACAGTTGCTTTCTGCCTTTTGGATTCAAGCCAATGTTCCTGATAATTTACCCTCAAATATGGAAGCTATAGCTCACTCATTCATAATAACACTAATGTTTTTATGCACAAAGGTAGATTTTTTTGGTATTGATACTACCTGCTTTATTTCCTTTCATATTTTAATAAATTTTGAATTCGAATTTGTTCATCTGTACTGCTTTGTTATACATCATGACTGTAGATTGAATGTTGGTATGCTTTAGTTCCCAATTAAACTGAATCTTCAAAATAGAAACACAGCATTTTAGTGAAATTATTATGTACTGAATTAGGAGTGATTTCGTAAAAAAAGTTATCAAGAGCAATGGAGTTCCTATAGAAGTTTGTTGACATCATAATCTGAAAATATTTTGTCTTCATATGCATGTTGAGTGTTGACTAGTGTCTTTCATTTTTGGTTTAGGGATTTCATTTTAACAGGAAACTGATATAGCCACAATCTTGATGTTACATATTTCTGTAATCATTATTAGATTGCTAAAACATTTCAAAATTCAATGTTGCAGAAACTGAAAGATAGAGATAACCTGGTAATCCGCTTCTTCCAGCTTCCTTTGTCTCTCTGGAGTATGTCGTGTTACGCGGGTAATGGTATGATCAATAGAGATCTCAATGTCACATTCTTGCTTTTAAAGGAACTATATTTTCTATATTTTAAAATGCAAAATTGGCATACTTGTGTTCCAGCAGGAGTGTTGCACCCGACATGTCAGAGGGCCATCCTTGTATTATCAGCTGGCATGTTGATGTTCGCCTGCAAAATGTACCAGATTCATGATCTGAATGACGTGTTTACGTCATTGGCAATATTCGAAGTGAGTAACTGGTTTGGTCTCATGACTGTTACTGTTAGAGGATTTCCTAACTGGTTTTGGTTGTATAAACAGAATATATCTTAACAACTACCTGCTTCCGTATTCAGGTTGATCCATTCTTGGGTATCAGTGATGATTATCATGTATATGCTAAGGTCCATGTGGATATTAGAGAATATGGTACTGCTGCCGATAATCAGCTAGCCATGACAATATTATCCGAATTACGGGACAAAATATGTGAATGTCACAAGACCATAAAGGATGTTTTGGTTCAAGGTTTAGCTATCGTCACTGAGGTATTACATACTTGTGGACCAAGTTTTTATCCAAAACGTTTCTATCTCACTACTGGTTTTTATGTTTCTCAAGCTGGATGCAGATGATGTGGCTACGATACTGTCAGAGATATTCGTACCCGATGAAGAATTCGTGTTTGGTCAACAGTCAATTCTTGATCAAAATCAAATGATTTATCACTCTCTGGAATCACTGTCATTTGACGGAGTATGTTATTTCTAAATCGATGATTGAGGCCAGTAGACCAGTTCCTGTATTATATCAATGCTACTTGTCAGTGACATTTGTTTAATAGAAATATGTTAATTGATTAAATTCCCGATTGTGCAGGATTTTCCCTCAACTTCAGTAATTGAATATGACACAATAAGTGAAACATCTGTCTCTGACCTTGCTCGGTTTATCCCAAAGGTTCCTGCTTCTCCGCCTGTGTCTCATGTTATCAGCATTGGACAACTTATGGAATCGGTACTTTCTGTCTCTCCTGTGTCTGTGTGTGATGAGAGAAAGTGTAGTTGTGTACTACAAGCCCTTTTATACTTGTACCGAATCAAATATCGTGCATCTTAGGTGAAATTATGAAAGTAATTTGAGTATTCAAAGGGCAGTGCAGTGAAAATTTTGAAATTCCATGAAATAGTTTCATTGGACCCAGTTACAGTATGCAATCATATCCTTTTTATTTGTTATTAGTGTTCCCATTTCAATGACATCTACTGTTTTTTAGGCACTGGAGGTAGCTGGTCAAGTTGCAGGAACGGTTGTCTCCACTTCACCCCTTCCGTATAACACCATGGCTCGGCAGTGTGAAACACTCGGTACATGTGGAAGGACGAAGCTTTCAAATTGGCTGGCCTTCGAGAATCATTACAGTCAAGCAGCTGATAAACCATTTCTGGCAAATGTTGATAGCATGAACTCAGAACTAGAAAAGGTCTCTTAAATATAATCACTTGTGATATAACATGTCATTTAAGTTTGTGAATCAATGACACATGCTTCTAAACTTTTAAGCTTGTCAAATGCTTAGTGCTACTTATTTGCACTATTCAAATTATTATTGGTGTTACTAAGGTCTGCTATTGTAAATAAATCCAACTCCTCCAATGTATTGCTGACATTCCATTTCTCATTTATGTATAGGAAGCAAATGGTGGTGGGCATGGCCAAGTAATAACATTGCCAATGGACCCATGGTTGGCCATGAAGTTACCTCCTACTAGCCCCTTTGATAATTTTCTTAAGGCTGCTGGGTGTTAAGATTAGATGTGTTATATGTATAATTAGTCTTTGCAAGGGCTAGGTAAATTGTAGAAGTACTATTTCATAACTGAAAGAGAGTGAGCTTGACACAATAATAAAATTGTTGTTTAGTGACCATGAAATCACAGATTCAAATCCTTGAAGCAGTCTCTCTGCTTGCGTGATTATCGCATTAAGTGAGAGTTTCGTACACTGAGCCGCATTTTTTACTTTTTCATAATTGAACTGTTTACAGCTTTATGCTATTTGGAATCATTCTGTTTAGGTGGGTTAGAATGCTTATTGACTGTTATTTTGGAACTAACATTTTGGTGTGCACTAAAGTGTTTTTAGATTTGTGAATATATGGATTGACTAGTCTAAGTCTGTCACATTGCATAGTGTGAATGGTGGACTTTGCAAGTTAAAGAATTACAATTTAGCCAAAACAAGAAAAGGTAATATAGTAAGACAAGGCAAGTTTTCAGAATTCTATAGGAGCCTCCATTATCGACATTGCTGCAAAATAAGACAAGTCCTCATAAAAATGTGAACACCTATAATTCCTCCATTATGGACTTTGCATGGACTTTGTGTCCAATTTGAGTTCCTCCTCATCTATGTGAACACCTATAATTCCTCTCAAGATAAAACACAAGATTTATTTGCTGCATAAAAACAAAACATGTAGAAAGATAAATAATAAAAGTAAGAAATCTTAAACTACATGTGGGTAAAAATGATCTCACTCTATTTTAGCACAAAACAAATATATCATAGATCCACCACAAGGTCCTGCTTGAGTAATAAAATGAATGAGTTTGGTCTCCCCCTTGACCCACTTTGGGCTTGATTTCATGATGAAGACGAGTTGCTTGAGGACTTGTTGGACTTTTTTAGCCTTGGCCCTAGTCATGGCCCTCCTAGGCCACATATGACATTCTCATCAATATTGGGCTCTACCGGGTTTACATCACATACTTATTTGCACACATATATAGGTAGAGAGTATTTATGAGCATGTTTTCAAGTTTAATAATTATTACATGAATAATAATATATTATGGGTGAACATGAGAGGTGTAAATTATTATAGTCATTATAGTCAACCATTAAAACTTATTATCAAATAATAATAAAGTAGTACAAAATTATAATATATAACAATATTTAATTAAAAATTAAATTTTAGAATTATACGGATACTTGTGGGTGGATAACTAGATATCATAATGTTTGTATATACTAGGGGTGAGCATGTGACATATAAGACTTGTCTCTTACCTGAACCTAAATATTGATCGAATCTTTTTTTTTTGAACTCAGACAAAAGCCTGGAACTAACCCGACCCAAATGTTAACTGAGTTAATCTTTGAATCTGAACCCGACCCGAGATTTGATTAAATATAATGCATACCCTTTTAGATTAAGTCTTCTTAATATTACTTATTATTATGAATATATAATTTGACATATGAAATGATATATGTGTATATATTGTTAATCATGTATATATGATGAAAAATTAGAGAATTAATGATACTTTTAACAAAAAGATGTCATTATTATGTACACAATTGAATAATGACACATATGAAAACATGATGAGTTAGTGACCATATGACCGGTCGATCTGGATCATATTTGTATCCTATCTGATCCTAAATATTCAATGAGTCTAATTTTTGAACTAGTCAAATCGGGTAAGTGAATAGAGTCGGGTTCTACTCACCCTTATCATAAATTATTATTATGGATACTGGTTGCATGTATTTTTTACAAGTACTCACAAAAATGTTAATATTTCTTTCATCCCTTTATAAAAACTAGTAAACCAAGAATGAGAAAACTAACAATTTCCGCACAAAAAATGATAATTGATAATACATACCGCATACCAACCAAAGAAAAATGAGAGATTATATTGATAGCCAGCAAAGCAGAGACAGAAAAAATTAAAAGGAGGAACCTTATGGTGGAATGGACCTACTCATTAGACACCATAAACAAGGATGCCAACCCAAACCAAATGATTGAAAAGTTGTGAGGTCCATCTTCATGAATGAGGGTTCTAAACACTGTTCCTCCTGAATGACTTGTCTCACTTTCAAAGCTGAACTTGGCTTCCTATCATGTCTTTTGTGTTCTTTGTTTTGGCTAACAAATGTACGGTTGTGGTTATATTGTACAAAAAAGAGTAATGATAATATATAATATACAATACGAAAAAAAAACCAATGTGATAATTATTTTACACCACCTCGATAAATTACCTTTTCGATAATAAACCAAGATGATTAACTAAAAGGTAATATGATTTGTTTGCAAAGAATTCAACTAATTTTAAGTTTATAAAAGGGATTATATATCCCTAACCTAAAAAGATGAACATTGGTGAGAATCAAACACAAAAAATTATTTTCCCCTAGAAGTTTCATGTCTAATTTTAATAAAACTCAAAGCACCAATAGTAGTATACCCGGTTATTAGAAGAGTTACTTTTAAAAGGAATAATGATCATCTCCATTAATAGAGAGACAAATGCATGTTTTTCCATTTGTTTTTAATGACAAATATATAATTTTATTTTAATTAAAAAAATAAATGTGTTATCGAAAGTTATATTTCCCTTTATTTTTTTTTGAAGCATCAACCTTCTAACTCATCCTATTCTTATATATAAAAAAAGTTAAGATCAGAGTATGTAGTGTTTAATAATGGAGTATTTAAATGAAAAAACCCTTAATGATTTGGTTATAAAGGGCAAAAATGACCTCTTGCTTTTTCCAAGAGAAAAGATTGTTTGATTTAAGTTCCATTAGGGCATTTCCCTAACTCATTGGGCCCTGTCCAGGTTGAAATGCCTTTTAGAAAAAGGAGATTGGGTGGGAAATGGACAGTGTTATGAAGACTTGCATGACTGTATCACAATCATATCCCACAAAGTGGGGAACCCTTTGTCGTTCATATTGTTAACTTGTTATTAGCCTTCTAATCAAAAGAAAGAGAAAGCACACGGTTAATGGCTGCTTTTGTGATGTTCCAATGCCAGATGCCCGAGTGTAAATGTGTTATGGCCGAGTTATTGGTGAGCCATGACTGAGCACTTGGGCGAACCACGTTACCGAGTATGAGTGTGTCTTGGCCGAGTGAATATGATGTGACCGAGCACTTGACCTGATGTTTGGTCGAATCTTTGATTAATTATGACCACTTGTGTCGAGCTCGATAGTACCAAGCATCAACAGGTCAACAACATCATCAAGGCTAAATAGCTTTGTAATGATTATTATGTAACTTAAGCAAATGAGTTGGATAAAGTTAGCCTTTTTTTTCTGAGTAAACATATTGAGTGTTGTGGTCGTGTATGTTGAACCTTTTCTGAATAAATCTACCATCCAAGCCACATGTTATTTACCCAGTAATCATTTCCTTTCAATTCTTAAATTTAAAGACACACCACACTTGTATTTTTATATGCAAAGTGCCCAATAATGGTAAAATCAAATGCACCTAGCTAGTTTTGAAAAGGGAGGAGTATCTTTTCAGTCAAAGATATGACCTAGTTAGCTTTTAGATCTTTTCAAAATATCACCAATTATATGCAAAATTACGAAATGTATATTCTTTCACTTTCAGGTCACCCTCTTATTCAACTAAGTGAACGTAGTTTCAAGTAAAATTGGACATTAGATCAGAATGAAAACAAATTCTACTTACCACAAAATACTAACATACAAATGTCTATAGTGATATTTTAATTTGTTAGGGGGTGGAGGTGGTTTAAGCTAATTGGAGGTTAAAACAAAAGCAAATACCTAAATTGGACATCATTAATTCGTAAAGAATTTTGTTATATATGCTAAAGTGCTAAACTCTTTTTAGCATTTTAGTAATAATATATATATATACATCTTTAATATTTTCATAACATTAAGAAGTATTTATTAATTTTTTAATTAATTATTAAAATAATGGTTAAGAGAATAATTTGGAAGATTCTTATAAACTCAACTTCTGTAAATGTTATGTTGTTCATTCAATAAAATATTTAATATTTGAACATAACTTAAAATCTTAAAACTTTTATTTGGATGTTATCTCATGTCATTCCATAAAAAATTTAAGATTGAAAAATAAAGTTTTACATCAAATAATACCTTCATTCGTTTTATTGTTGGTTCATGTTTTAATATCTTTTTTTGTTTAATTCGTATACATATTCTTTTCTACAGACTATTTATTGAACTTAGATGTTTTTTAGAATTATAGGTACGATTAGGAAAGAACAACTGAGATATATATAAATATAAAGAAAAACTCTTACTGATTTTATTGTTCTGATCATTTACACTTGCTTATCCATTCATCAAGCTATTAGTCACTATTTACTCTATTATAACCTCAAACTCACATGCTTCTTTCAATGTTCTCAACTTTCGCTATTGATTTATAACATATTTTACAAACAAAAATTTAACATTCTTTTGAGAATCCAACCTTTTCATTTATGAAAGTGGAAATCTAACTTTACAATCTATGTCATGTTTTAAGATTAATTATAATATTATTTTTGAGGACATTTTTTTATCTAACTCTTCTATCAAATATGAGATTCCAAAAAAATTATTGCATCAAACATCATTATTTTATCTAATTCTTCTATGAAATATGAGATTCCAAAAAAAAATGTCAAAATATTCATTGTATCAAACACTATCTTAGACGTTAGTCTAGTGGTGTAAAATTCGATCGTTAGATTTCTAGAATGACCAAAAGGTCAATGGTTCAATTCTTAATATCAACATTTGTTGGGAGAGACAGTTACACACAATAACAAATATTAGTTTATTAACGAAAAGAAGTAAGGGATAACCTTTGTAGTATAAAAAAGCGTAGAGGACCTACTAATTTGATATTTTTATACACTAAATCAAACAAAAGATAAGTATATATTCACTTTAAACTTTGTGAGAGAATATCATATTAAAACAGCATTAGAGCATGATTTGTGAAAATCAAATTCATGCTAACTAGCTTTTTAGGTATGAACGAATCAGTATTAGAACCAAATCTTAGACGCCCTTTACCTTTGACACCTTAGTAAAGTAGAATTCTTTCCATTAATGAAGAGGAAATTATTATAAAAAAAGGAAAAATAACTCTTATAGACATTTATATTATTTTTGTTTAAAATAAGATTATACTTTTATATTTAAAATACAATCTCTCCATTAATAGAGAGAAGACTTAAACCAAGAAAATATTGTCACGATGTCTGGGTGAATATGAGTGGCTGATGCAATAATAAGGTACATAGCTAAGCAATAATACTACATGACCTTAACCTTGTCAAATCCTTGCACTGTTTCAGTCTTCCCTTTCGCATTTGCCAGAGTCACCATTCCTTCTCCACACTCACATTTTATCCCTTTAAATTATATTAATATTATATTTTTATTCTTAAACATATACTAAAAAGTCTAAATATCATATACAGTAATGGAGATGAGCCTTACTCGTGAAAAATGTATGGAAAATATTTTAAAGTTTGTTAAGTAGTTAGGAATCTAACTAGTTAATTTGTTAATTTTGTATCATTATTCATTTGCTTGGAATACAAGCCTTCGCTTTTTTAATCAATGATAATAAGGTCAAAATTCCACTTTCTCTTTTTGGTATTTGATTTATAATAAAATCTATTTTTAAACCCCTGATAAATAGTGCACTTCCTTTTATTATAAGATATTTTCAACCAAATGATAAATATTAATTAAATAAGTGATTACATTTATTAACACATATCATAACATTATTATTCTATTCTAATTTAATATTGTATTATTTTTAGTTGAAAATATCATAATTCTAAACTATAATTTATCCTAGACCAAAAAAAGAGTTAAAACATCTAATAATAATAAATAATAATAAATGTTTCATAAAACTATAAATTCTTTCATGAAAATATCAACCAAACATTCTATAAAATATCTTGGAATCACACCTATAAATAACATAACATTATAATGATATTACTTTTTTTATTAGGTAGAGACAAACCACATATGTTATATTTATATATTTATTACACTACAATTTTAACGTTTTTTTAATTTAAAGTAATATTTTTAGTATATCTTTCATAGACTATATTTATTCATTTCATCTAAATGATCATATATATAATAGAACAATATATTGCATTATTTTCACATTTATTTCTTAAAAATAGTTTATTATAGGGATTAAATTGTCCCAAAATTAGTTATAAAATATACTTAAAATGACTAATTTAATTAATATTTAATATTTATTTTTTAATTACCAAATTGATACAAAAAAAATTTAGGGACCAAAATAAGATTTTACTGTTTTGTGAATAAGGTGAAATGTAACTCATTTTATACTAATGTAAGATGAACTTTACATAATTACATGATAGAATTTGAGAATTAAAAATGTATCTTGAATATCCCAAAACCAAGAATATTTATCTTCCAAGGAATAATAAATAAATCATTTTTATTCATATAATACCTGATTTTTTATAATGTTCTTTTCCAATATTGATTTTGGATTCTTTAACATTATTATTTGTGAATTTTGAAAACATATTAATTGACATTTTAAACCAAAAATATAATCACGAATTAGCATGTAGTGGACAAAATAAGTGAATTAAAATAATGACAAAATAACCTTATTTAATTAATCTCTTTAATTTTTGTAAAAAAACACAAAATAACCTATGAAAGGGACTAAGGTGGTAGCAATTTTTTTTTATAAAAAACTTAATGAATTAATATCTCCATATATTTTATGAAATGAATATTGCAATAAATACATAATTATTGAGGCAAAACGAGTCATTTCCATGTTTAGTTCTTTCTCTCTCAGACATCATATACCTGTCCTCTTTCCTTTGTTCCTTCCCCAGGTTTTCTTGGAAAAGCAAAACCAAGGTCTCGTCTCTATCCTACTTCCCTAGTAACTCACTCTTTCTCTTCATCCTTAACACACTATTCTCTCTCACAGTGTCACTATCATTACATTTTTGTATCAAACATACTTACACACTCAAAAACTTTCCTTCCTCCAAAATAACCAAAGAAATTTCACTTTTGTCGCTGTT